TAGCTCAACACTATATTACCTTTATTATTAAAATCTAAATTCATCATGCAGACAAATTATGTTGAGTGTATATGAGAAAATTATAACCAAACATATTAGTCTTGTGCACATTCGATAAAGAGCAAATTTTATAAGGCAATATCTATAAATTACAGAATAAAACCAAAAACCCAAAAACAAAAAAAAAAATGCTAAGAACAACATAAGAACTGATGATCATCTACTCGCATGCGTCTTCACTAGATCTAGCGATGAACCATATGCAATTTACAGTTGAATGAAAAAGGAATGACTTAGAAAGGGGTACCACTTCCACTCCGAGTTTCAGCAGGGCTGTATAAAGCGGACCTATTCCTTGGTCGATTCTCTTCCAACTGCCTAACAACCTCGTCCATCGTAGGTCGAACAGCAGCCACAGGAGCACAACATCCCATTGCAAGTTTCAATGCTTGAACGAGCCCTTCTTCCATAGGATTCTTTGTTGCCTTCAACAGCTCCACATCGAACACTTCCATTGTTGTTTCCTCCAAAACTGCCACTTTCACCAGTGAAGGCAAGTCAACAAACTCCCCATTTCCTCCATTTTTACCAGGCCTTTTGCCAAGTAAAATCTCGAGTAAAAGTATTCCATATGCATAAACATCAGTTCGGGAATTGCATTTCTTCATCTTCTGAAGTTCTGGAGCCTTGTAGCCGTCGGTTTTAGCTTGTGCAACTATTTCATCAGCTACAGATGGAATCATTATTTTGTCAATTCCAAACTCGTTGAGCCTGGCCACATAGAAATCATCAACAAGAACATTTTTTGACCTCACATTCCCATGAGTTATTGGTGTCTCAAGACCATGAAGATGAGCTAATCCCTTGGCTATTCCCAAAGCAATCTTGTGTCGCCTAGCCCAACTCAGCACCGGTTTTCCGACTCTGGATTCTGCAATCAAGTAGCAAATATAAGAATATACAATTAAGCTTATGTTCCAAATATTTTCCATCATGTCAATATCACAAAGCTTAGAATAATTGTTCCAAGTGCTTGCCTTCTAGAATCAATAAATGCAATTTATACCTTTCTCATCATGTCAAATTATCCATTTTACACCAAATGCTACCTAAGTAAGTGAAAACTCATCTGCCATGCCCAAGCATTATCAAAAGTAATGTGATATAAAAAGCAAAAAACTTAGTTTATTTGAACAAATGGAAGCAGTATGTTTCTCAGTGCCTACACCTATCGGATCATCAATCCCATGAGAAGAAAACAAAATGCCAAAAAGTGTTGTCTGTTTACGGGTTCTGCAGCTGGATTGCAACATAAGAAGAAAATTTACGGAGGCTACAAGTGATATTATGCTTGCACAAGAATTCATATTTTGGTGTGTCCTCTGCCAAGATAATTTTTGTTCACTCCGTAAGGTAATACATGTAGCTTTAATGGAATAAGTTTCGAGGAATCCAAACTGCACAAACTTAGATTCCTCAAAAACCTTAATACTAACAGCATGTTGGAACCTACAATTCAGTGGTAATCCTAATTCTGATAGAAATGAGATGCTTCTATGTTCTACATGTATTCATAATACTGATTTGCAAAAATATTGTACTGCAGAAAAAAGAAAACCCATCTACTTACCATACAGTAGATCATAGAGAGTTTTGTTAGGTAGATAGTCATAAATGAGAAGCTTTTCCCCTCTTCTCCCTTGATAGAAAGCTCTCAATGGAATCAAATTGTCATGTCGAATTCGTCCCAATTGCTTAATCACAGGCAAACACAAACTTCTATCTTTACAACTACCTTCTCTCAACAACCGTAAAACAATGGTTCCTCCATCGGCTAATTTCGCCTTGTACACAGTCCCATAACTTGTCTTTTCCATAACTTGCCCTGTTGCATTCAAGACGTCCTCCAATGTCAAATGCTCACCGCCCTGAAACAAGACTAACTTCCCCTCACTGCCACCAGCAGCGCCACAGCCTTCTTCTTCATCCTCTAGTTCCTCGAATTCCTCCTCCTCATCATCCAGATTCTTCCGTTTCTTCCCTTGATAATACCCAATCAACAATGAGACAAGGACCACAGCTCCAGTCATCAAACCAATGACAATTCCAGCAATTGCACCGGAACTCAATCCCGAGCTTCCACCACAAGATCTCAAGGGTTGCCCACAAAGAGTAGGATTATTCCCCTCAAAAACTTCCACCCCAAACTTTGATTCCACAAATTTTGGCAACACCCCACTAAAATTATTGTGCGAAAGATTCAATTTTTCCAACTTTAGCCCAGTAATACTCTCTGGAATTGGACCAAAAAACATATTGTTCCCAAGATCAAGCTCTTTAAGTCCATTGAACCTAGTAATGAACTCCGGAAAGTTCCCAGAAAACGTGTTTTGTCCCAAATCAAGAAAATGCAAAACCTTGCAAGTAGCATCAGGTAATGCAGGATCAGGAAGAGAACCAGACAAAGAATTACCATGTAGCCGAAGCGAAACCAAGCGATCGCAGAGGTTCCAAATGGATGTTGGCAAAGCCCCAGTAAGCAAATTGTGGCTCAAATCAATATCTGATAGAGAAGAACTGTACCCAAGCTCCAAAGGGATTGTCCCAGAAAGTGCATTCACACCAAGATAAAGACTTTCAAGATTTGAAAATTCCCCTATCTCTCTAGGTAGTACCCCTGACAGATTTGCAGATGGGAGTTGAAGAGAAATGAGGTGCAAAAAGGGGTCTTTGTATAGAGAAAGACTGGTCCATTGAGGCGAAGAGAGGTCAGTACAAACCAAAGAAGTACCATTTTTTAAGGCCCATTTGAGGCCTCTCCACTGGCAGAGTGGCACAGTAGCATTCCATGTAGACAACAGGAAATTCTCCGAATTCCCTATTAGCGAAGGCTTGAGCTTTTGCAAAATCAACTCGACATCTGAAGCAGAGTGAGAGAGAGTTAGAACAAGAGCAATGTAGAGAGAAAAAAGCTTCAAAGCCTCCATGAAAGTAATAGTGTGACAAAAGGAAAAAGCATCAAAGAAGAAGAAGATGAAAAAGAAAAGTGAAAGGAGGGGTAGGTTTCTTGCTTTGAAGTTTTTTCTTTTTGGGAAAGCTGTCAGTGTGTTGACTGTGAGTGAACATTAATCAATAAAACTATACAACCTCGATTTGATTACTCTCACGAAATTTGGAAAAGTGGTTTTTGTAGTATAATAATTATATGTTTGTTATTTCATCTTTAATTTGCACGCCGCCTGGCCTTTGCAGGAGTGGGGTCCATTAGCAGGAGGAAATGGTGGATGGGATGGGACGGGAGACGTAATTCTCCTTCACTATACATTTTCTGTGAAGGATAGGTGCATTTTGCTCCTCCTCTTGATTTGATCAATGGAGATTAGGATTGCTAATACCCATATCCGATAATGATTTTCATATTAAGAACATGTTTCAATGGAGCTTATAGCTTAAGAATAATCTCTAATTCTTTATTAAAACTGCACCGAGTTAGGGGAGCGATATCCAAAATTTAAAAGACAAATTTGTTCTTTTAAAGCAACTTCAATGTGCGCACCAAAACACCATTTTGCATCAAATTTTGGTGTAAAGTCAATTCAATGTTGTACCAGACTTTGCATCATTTTACACCAAAATAGTTAAGTACAATTTTGCCATTCTCTTTCACTTTGTAAAAAATTTGGTTAAGGGTATTTGCGCCTATTTTTGTTATACATTTTGTAATACAATAAATTATTATTATTATTATTTTTTTTTTTTTGAACATTTGTAATAAAATTTAATAATGTAATCAATAGTTAATGTGATTTATTAAACTAAGAATACTCAAAAACTTTGGGAGAAGAACAAACACGATTATTTAATGACGTGATTTAATATTTTCATGTTTCCATTAATTATATCATATATTTTTTAAAA